ATTCATTCATTCATTCATTCATTCATTCATTCATTCATTCATTCATTCATTCATTTTATATAGCCATCCAGAGTCATTTAACTTGAGATGGGCCATATAAATTGTTTGATTGATTGATTGATTGATTGATTGAATGAATGAATGAATGAATGAATGAATGAATGAATGAATGAATTTGGTGACCCTCATGGTTCCTTCCAGCTCTACAATTCTAGCCTCCTATGATTCCCTGCCTTAGATAAGCATTCAAGGCAGCTTACAATATGCTAGACGAGGAGTGTCAAAACAGCCGAGGCTGATGGGGGCTGTAGTAATTCCAGGAGTAAATTTCCCACCGTTGCAGAAAAACAGAGCCAGCCCTACGATTAAGGCAGCAACTGAGCATGTTGGGTTTGACCCTTGGGGAAGGTGGCCCATACAATTTCCCGATTCACCAAAGGGGCTTAGATAACTCACAATAACCCTTTGAATGCCCAGCGAATCCACAGAGAGCAATTGCGTAACAGCTTCGTTTTAATCTAGGCGAGGGGTATCTTGACTGGTTCGGTTGGGTCGTTTGTTTGCTGGGTGGGTTGGGTGTCTCGGGCAAACCCCATCTGCTTGTTGAGTGTCAGAGTTGGCCAATTGTGCAAACCCAGAAAAGGGTTGAGTTCAGTATTTAAGTCAAATGCCAAGGGCAGGGGTTGGACTGGATGACCTCTGAGGACCCTTTCAATTCTATTATTCCATCTTGTGCCAAGCCAGCCAGCCTGCCCTGTGCCAGGCGATGAAAATCTCTTCCACGTCTGGAATTATAGGGGGAGCATCCTGCTGTTGGCCTCCAAATGTAATAAAAACACCAGCCCCAAACTCTTCCTCTCCTCCTAAACCAGCCAGTATTAGAAAAGGAGGATAGCGAGATGCTGTCAAGCCCTAGTCGGCCTGCCCGCTGCCAGCTTGGATTAGGGAGAAAGGTGCTGCCAGAGGAAACGCAGCGTTCCCACGCGAGGCCGGGCCCCAGGATCAAAACGTTTCACGGATGATGTCTCAGCCACAAAAGGGAACCTGAACCCTCCCCGTTTAAGCCGGGGGTCTTTTCCCCCAGCCCTCCCTGGGGATTAAATCCGAGCAACTCTACACCTCAAGTTGGGGGAGAATTTGACGCTGAATTTGAGACCCCCGCACTTTGCAAGGAATCGTCCAGCCGCAACTTAGCAGCCGGGTTTCCATCGTTGAGCGGGGAGAGTAGATCTCACTTTTGGGGACGTTGGCACCAGCTGAGACCCCCAGCCCTGGGGCATTTGGATGAACAACTAATCAGGAGGATAACCCCTCGGCACTTCTCACCAGCTAACTCAAACTGACAAGCATTCTTGTCTGCAAGAAGCGTTGTCCTAAAGCAGGGCTGCACAACAGACCCACTTTTTAAAAGTCAGTGGGGGACATTGAGGTCTTTTCACGAAAACAATGGGGAGGGGGGGAGTCTTGCAAGAAAAAACAATCCCTCATTTGTGCCCAATTGCAACGGACCATTCTTGCATTCAGCTATGGAAATCAGTCCTGCTCTTCGCTTCCTACCTCGCAGGGTTGTTGTGCACCCACGCTGGGTGGAGGAAAGCCAGAGGAGAAATTTAAAAAGAAGGAAAGAGGAGGAGTAAGAATGCTGCTGTTATTATTGGGCAAAAAATGAGTTGAATAAAACAAACATTCTGGGACCTGTTTTGTGGGGCGGGGGGGAGAGCGGTCCTGGCAGACATTTTAATTGCTTAAGGGCAGAACCAGATTGCAATGAGGCAGGGAAGCCCGGGCTGATGTTGAGATTCACTTTCAGCATCCCTCCCGAAAACACCCCTTAAAACATCACCAGAAGGACAGGGTGAAGTCTCTAAAAAAAATCACATTTATGGTCTGACTGTGGCACATAGAAGGCAGAATTAAGATGCTACATATAGATTTATTTTATATATTATATTTATACTGTATTTTAAATTTTAGTTAGCTGCCCAGTCACAGTTGTGAGATTGGTGGACGTATACATCAATAGGAGGGAGGGAGGGAAAAGGAAGGAAAAAGAAGGAAGGAAGGAAGGAAGAGAGGGAGGGAAGGAAGGAGAGGGGAAGGGAGGAAGGAAGAGAGGGAGGGAA